TACCTACTGGGCTTCTTTGGCCACGTTTCCAAGCACATGGCTGGGTGGGGAGATGTACTCAATCCTCATTTTCCTCTTTCTTACATATCCTTATCTAAATCTATGTGGTAGTGGCTAAGCAGACACAAGATGATTTGAGCAAGTTAGGCAGTCACAAAAAGCAAAGATAAGAAGAGATTAGTTGGTTCCTTGATAGCTTTTTTGTTATGCAACACCTAGTTTAGAAGAACATTTGTTTGAAGGAAATAAGGTCGTGGCCCTTCCATCTAGACCTATTGCATTGTGACACAATGTCATCGAGGGTATATATGCAATTCAACCAAATGATTATACTACCAAATTTGGCTCTCCTATCACCATGCAAGACCCTAGAAATACTATAGATTTCTGCCCAATTCTTTTCTATAGTAAAATAAAGAGTGTTGGTCTCAAATCTCTTTCTTCTTGGATGTGTGGGAACGGTGTGGGAGATGGGGAAAAAATGTTTTCATTTGATATGCATATAGGTCATGGGATAATATATATGTATTAGGGAAATTCATAAAGTGGGTGTTGGAGAATAAAAGAATTTGGGTAAAAGATGAGTATTAAGAGAAATATGCAGCTGTGACAACTGACAACTGGTCGGTCTAGGAACCTTTTAGATGCCATCCCTAGTACAATTGTCCTACCAATGCTTTGCCTTGCCATCATCGATTTTTTTCTAAGGTATAAACCAGTCAACTAGGCATATTCAAAAAGATAACCAATGAACCATGGTGTTTGTTGACAACTAGTTCTTATTGGCAAAACCATAATTTGAATTCAAGTGTTTTCCTTTCAAGTTAAGCAAACAGTAAGGGAGGTATATATGCATCGCAACTGCCTCAACACCTTAATCAACAATAATATTGTTACTTATTAAAATAGGTGCATCAGTGATGAGTTCAGTTCAATTTGCCTTATAGATGCCTAGATCCCAACATGCTAAAAGAGGAGATTGAAGGCAATATTATCCACGGAATCAAGGAGAGAAGGTATAAGCATGAATAAAATATTTTATAATAGTAAAGTATCAATTATGCAGATGCATAAATCCTATAAGATTGAGATTACGCAGACTCCACAGCATGTCAAATAAAATAAGAACAACTGAGTTGAGAACTTAAATATTCTATTCATGTAACCTATAAAATTTTAGCCACCCATTTCTACCACTAATCCTAAAAGCTATTCACATTAAATTCAAATAAAATTAGATGTACCAGCACAAAAGCAGATACGCTCTTCTCTAAGCAGTTAATAGCCAGAACGGCCTCGTGAGGTGCCAGTAACAACCTTACAATAAAAATACCAAGTGGAATGCACAAACAAACAAGCATATATACATTTTCCTACAGAACAGTGCGTCATCCATAAAACAAATCAACCCAAATAAACTTTATATTTGTTCAATTCAAAACTTACAATGATTCGGCCTTCAATCCTCAAGTCCTTCTGCTCAAAAAGCCAAATCTGAATGCGAGCTTTCTGCATCCACAAAATAGAAAAGAAAAAATAGATTTAAAACTCAACAACCCATTAACAACCAACAAAAAACAAGCAGAAGTGGAAGAGAAAACCAGTAAAAGAGGCAAACAGTGACTTACACTTTGAAGAAACCTGAAAATCAAGTTCTGAAGTAGCAGAAATTCACAAGGAAAATGAAAAGGAAATATCAGTAAACAGAGAAACTATTAAAAACCCTAGAACAAAAATAATAAGTAACCAGACGTACAATGGGTTGGGTCATAATACGCTGCACTTTGGTGCTCGCCATGGCTGTGAAGCTCTCGAAGATTTTTGGGCACAGACTAGTGCAATTGTAGAGACGTTTAAACCCCAAACCACACGGCCTTTAGAGAGCGTTCACGAGAGAGGCGGGTCTGTTTGGTACGCTTGGCTTGTTACGTAGAGCTGGACTTTAGTCTATATAACTAATCCCTATACTCTTAAATATGTTTATGAGTTAATGATTTTGTCAATTTTATGTTTTTTTATTGGGGAAAAGGAATTAAAAAAGAAAAGATAAATAGGTAATAAAAATTAATTAAAAAGGATAAATTTGGCGTGATTCTGCAAGTGACAACATCAACCAATTCTATTATGAAGTTAAATATTATAGAGTTATTTGCAATATGGCCTTCATAATATTTAACTCTATAGTATGGCTTTTAGAATATTTTGATGTTGTCAAATATATAACTCAGTTGACCTACTCAAATCTGAGTAAAATCTGAAGACACATTTGAACTTTATAAAAAATTAAAAAACATAAAAAAATATAGAATGTTACCGAAAAGAATCTTAATAACAATTTATATTTTATATTGAATAATTTTATCTAATGTATTTTGTCTCTTCAAGAAGTTTATAACTCTTTAAATAGAAAAATAATCAATTTGTATAGGTAGAAAATCATAAAAATAAATCAAAAAGGAAAACAAAGAACATATAATTAGAAATTAAACTATAAAATAAAAAGGAAAATAATAGAATTTGCTAATTAAACAACATCATTCAAGTCTAATTTTAAGGCCTTCCTCGCTTGTTTATAGCTAATGGACATTCCTATAGAATTGGATTCGCGGAACCCCTGATGAGATTTTAGTGTGATTTAATGATCAGGATAAAATCATAAATATTTTTTTTTTGTTGGATAAATCATTTAGTGTGATTAGATTTATTTTGAGGTTTAGCTTTATCACTTTGATCCATGAACAAATCTACTATGTTTTTATGTGATTTTGTTACGACAGATCCATAATTTGCCACTAAATTATAATTTTAATGTTTTTTTTTCTAAATAATATTGTTTTGGGATTATTATGTTCATTTCGAATTGATCCAATGATCTGAACCTCAAGTAAGTTAAATCCTAGGTCAGGTATGACAACTATGTCTACATTGTGAATTGTTGCAGGAATATCAGATGGAGATCAATTCTAAATCTTGAAGACTCAACACATCAACAACAAATTCTAATCCCCAAACATGGAAACCTCCACAGCAGAATGTAATAAAAACCAACACTGTTGCTCCCTTTGCTGAAGTAAAAACAGGATCTGGATCAGTGATTGCAAGAAGTGATATATAGTGGGCAAGTTATGGTTTCAGCTATTTGTCCATCTTAGGATAGGATGTGCGTGGAAATTGCAGAAGTTCTTACTGCTCGTCATGGTTTGCAGATGGCTTTGGATATTGGGTATATCCTCATGTGATGTTGGAACTCGACTGCTGAGCAGCGGTATCGGCCATTAACAGTAAAATAAGTTCACGTTCAAAAAGATTTGAAGCTTTTAGCCAGATATTGTCATGTTATTTATCTATTTTTAGTTTTTCTTTAGATTAACATGGGTTTCTGAATTAGCCTGCGCATCACTAATTTTAAAGACATAATTTAAATAAAAAATAATAATTTAAAAACATTAAAGATATAGAAGTCAATGGCACATAAAACCTCGCAAGCCATCGCTGCAGCTTTGATGCGTGTCTCGTACGTGCTCCATTGGAAACATAGCTCGAGGGGACAGTTGACCTATCAAAAGTCTACGATTTTAATCCATTGGAAAATCTCTCAGCAACGTTTTCTACGTGTTCTTCAACTCTTTGTAGTTCTTCTTCTGATCAGTTATCTCCAAATGGTGTTTCTAATAAAATAATTGATGGCTTTTGGCTTATAAAAAATTAATTAACTCTTATTAATGATTTTATGTATACATCGACCACAAAATTACATAATTACCCTTTCAAGTTCATGGCTCCTGGTGTTTACTTGGTCGAGTCTGGCTTTTAGTTTCCCTACTTCCATATATACTCCATTGAAGGTAGCAAAGAAAGGCCGAAAAGATTGAAATGCATACTCCGAACACAAAAATCTTCCTATGTATAGTCCTAAAAGAGAATATATATATATATAAAGCACTAAATAAACTTTTTTCTTTTTAGATTGACATCATTACTTAAATTAGTTTGCATGTATCTTGATTAGTCCCATAAATTTTAAAATTAATAATGATATAATTTTTTAATAAATTTAAAATTGATTATATATAAAAAAATCATAGTTAACAATTCTGATAATAGTTGAGGACATGATAAAATTATTTTTCTAAAAAGTATATTTTTATTTAATATTTTAAAGTTGACGAAGGATAAAATGGGAATTTCATTTTTAATTTGAATAATAAATTCATTTCATTACCTTTAAAGCGAAGCTAGAAACACGGCATGGTACAAGGCGTCAATCTATAGTCTTTACTAGTTGAGACATTGTCATCAAGCATACTTCCATTTTATTTAGTTAATTATTGCCAAATTGTATTTGATTGGTGAGTATAAAAAACATTTCTACCCAGTCCATATTTCAAGCTGAAGAAATTTCAGAGCGAAAACGCACGCATGTATTCTAGCTGGCCTATATATGCTTGGTCTGTTAGCTAAGAACAACATGTGATCTTGTTTTATTCTTTAACGAACAAATGGCAATTCCGAAGCAGAAATTCACCCTGCCTTTTTTCACCCTTCTCTTGGTTAATCTCTGGTCCAAGCAAATGGTGATCATGGCAGTGGAGATTATACCAATAGGAGTAGTTCTTGATTTGAACTCTACAGTTGGAGAAATGGCAGAGAGCTGCATATCCATGGCAGTCTCCGATTTCTATGCTGTTAATGCTGATTTTAAAACGAGACTCGCTCTTTTCACTAGGGATTCCAGCAGTGATGTCGTTGCTGCAACTTCTTCAGGTATATGTGTAACTTCTCATAATTTTCCCTCACACGCACAAGGCAGACTCTTGTTTAGCTCTTGTGGAGTGCATGATAGTTGCAAATATTTCTTTCTGTTTAAATGACTAATGTCAAAAAGTGAATTGCGCTTTAAAAAAGGGTACTTCGTTTTTCCCCGAGAGAAGAAGTATGCAAGGCAACAAAAGAAAAAAAGGTGAATTGCGCTTTAAAAAAGGGCACTTCGTTTTTCCCCAAGAGAAGTATGCAAGGCAACAAAAGAAAAAAAGCCCTTTTTTTTTATCGTTTCTCCAAAATCCCATCTCCAAGTTTATTTGTTTCATGCAAGTCCCCCGTGAATCTTTGCTGGCTTGATCTCTCTGATTGAAGTGCTGGATTGTTGTAAAACATTTCAAATTTCAAACCTAATCCCCTGTTACTGACTTGTGGTTTTACTGAGTCAAAAGTCAAGAACAAACTAATAAATCAATAATTGACAAATACACTTTTGAAGCTGTTTGTGAAAGGATCGGCTATTTGATCCTCCACTACTCTCAGCTTGTATTTTCTTTTTCATCTACTATTGCCACTGATCAAATTATCGGGTCCTTATCTATATAACTTCTTTATTTAGTCCAAAATCTTTAGAAGCTGATGAAAAGGGATTCAGATGCTACTGAATTGTATATGGTATTTGGCTCGTTTGAGATCTAAAGGCTATATAACTTGTGATCCTACTGGTACCAAGGTTTAATTGCTTACCTGTTTAATTATGATGGTGCAATTCTGCTTTGTATCTGTTTTGGTTACCTCTGAGTTTTTGGACTGTGTTATGGTCTTAATCTGTCTGTTCTCTACTGCAAACCTTTCTTATTGCCCGTGTAGACTAAGTGCATGTAAAGCTCTTAGAGAAGGTACTTGTAACTAGAAACTGAAATCATGATGGTTCAAACTCAATTCCGAACCCACGGTACATAACACAGCTTCCTATCTTGAACTGATTACGTCTATTCGAGGCAGAAAAGTAACAGTGGCCAAACAAAACCACACACACGGGCACGCTGTTGTATTCTTCCGATTAACATGGCAGAATTGTACAGTGGCTACAAGATCTTGTAGCTGGGGTAAGAGAGCCCCATTTAGCTGGGAGTTCATTAATGCTATGCACCAGTCAAGGCTAGATTAGCGATGGAGTTATATATTCATTAGTAGTGATGGAGGAATCGGCATCATCTGACTTTAGTTGATTAGAATCTGTTTTAGTTTCGGCTAATGGTGACAGAAGCACTGGTTAATATGAGTAACGTATAAAGAATTTATTGTTGTGAGTGGAAAATTGTGATTCTTATTTTAGAGATTGAATATCTTTTTTTTTTCTTTTTTTCTTTTAATTTCTTGTATCTAATTCAGTCATAGTCTTCTAAAATTCTTGTATCTAATTCAGTCATGGTCTTCTAAAATTCAGTGCTGGATTTAATAATTTCTAGTATCTAATTCAGTCATAGTCTTCTAAAATTCAGTGCTGGATTTAATGAAGAATGAACAAGTGCATGCTATCATAGGACCTCAAAAGTCATCGCAAGCTAAGTTTGTAACAGAGCTTGGAGGAAAAGTAGAGGTTCCGATTGTTTCTTTCTCAGCCACCAGCCCAACTCTTTCTGCAACTCAAAGCAAATATTTTGTCCGGACTGCTCAGGATGATTCTTCTCAAGTGAAAGCAATAGCCAGCATTGTCCAAGCTTATGGTTGGCGGGAGATTGTACCAATCTTTGAAGACACCGAATATGGAAATGGTTTGGTTCCATTTTTGTTAGAGGCCTTTCAAGAGATCGACACTCGAGTCCCTTATGGAAGTAGAATTCCCTTGTATTTCAATGACACTCAAATCATGAGGGAGCTCAACAAGTTGAAGGCGATGCAGAAGAGTATATTTCTAGTGCATATGTCATCCTCCCTTGGGTCCAGGTTGTTCTTACTTGCCAAGGATGCAGGAATGATGAGCGAAGGATATGCATGGCTCGTGACAGCTGGATTATCCACCTTGTTAGATCCTCGAGGTTCTGAAGTCATGGATTCAATGCTAGGTGTGTTGGGTATAAAGCCACATATACCAACTTCAAAGAGACTCGAAAGTTTTAAATCGAGATGGAGCAAGAATTTCACCATAAGCAAACCACAAAGTAAGAT